GAAAGTCACAAGGGAACAGAATCAAGGTGGGAAATGGAGGGATTCCTTTGGGACTGATGGGCAGAGGAGAATGCTCCTGACAGGTGCCTGGAGAATGTCCTCTGGACGGTGGGCAGCCTCCATACAGCTATTGCTTTGGGGCCACAGCCACCCTGGACCACAGACCTGGGTGACTTGGAGGCACCAAATGGTTTCAGTTTTCCCACACTTTTAATAGGATGATTCATTTCACCTTTACTCTGCCTCCTGGTTCTTTTACTGATGAGTAATTACTCCTTTACTCCTGCTTTGATGATGTTTGCTGGGGGTTTTAAAATCAAAATGTTAACAAACAATTTTTGGTTAGCTGGCTTCCACAGTTGGTGTAGCTAACTGCAGGGTGCATGTGGTCCCCTAGCAGGTTCTTTGTGGTTCTTTAAATCTTGACTGCTTCTATGGGTTTTACCTGCAGTGATGCCATGAAGACAAAACGAGTTTTGTGTCTGCCATTTTGGTTTTTTATTTATCAAAAATATTTATCATCTATCTATCTATCTATCTATCTCTGACTGATCTCATAGGTCTCCACTGCAATATTGTGATGCCAACAGGATTTTGTGCCCACCCACACCAGCACCTCCAAATCAAATTTTATTTATTTAAATATATATTACTCACTGGTGCAAGAGGTACTTTCACTGCAATACAATACTTTTTTTCTTGTCCCCCAGAACCCTCCCAAACCTGCCTCTCCCTTTGAAAAGTCGCCATTCCTGCTGGCCCTCTGCTCTGATTCTGTTATATCAAAATGTGTTTTTACCCCTTTTATAAATAAGTAGCCACACTCACTTTTATACTTTGGCCTTGCCATTTTGGGCAAGTGGCCCCGGGAAGGTTGATCATGGATCAATGTTGCCCTCAGCCTGAAAGAAGATAGCTGCCCATTGTACAATGTCTGCATTTTGCCTTTTCTCTGGTAGAGCTTTAGAAAATGGCAAGATGTACCAAATATTCTAAATTTTCTTAAGAAAAAAGGCAGAGAGGGAAAAGGTCAACAAAAGCAACTTAACCCACAGCACATGCAACCACCCAGGAGCACCCAGGAGCTCTGGCATTCCTGCCCCCCACCAGGCTTGTAATGGCAAGAGAGGCACTGCCTGCTGAGAAGAATGAGATGTGATTTAAGGAGCAGGCAAGAGCTGGCATGGATTGGGCAGGGTCCAGGAAGTTGGGGCTGGAAACCAATTCTACTTGCCCCCCCCCATCTTGATTTGGATGGATGGAGGCATGAAGAGGACAAAGCCACCCTTCATCCCTCCTGGTCTTGTGAAGCTCTGAGGGTCCAGGTCAATGCCCACAGTGCCACCTCAGCACTGCCAGAGGAGGAGAGAGGAGCATGGCAATCAGCCAGCCAGCTGTCCTCCTGTATGGGCAGACATACCTGGAGGGGGCAGGCCAGCCTTTTGCAGAAACCTCTCTCCCCGCTTGGATCTGCCTGAGGGCCACAGCCACTCCCCCTTGGAGCCAGGCCTCACAACAGTTCAACACTTCAAGTGGTCCGAAGCAGCAGCCTCCCTTGGGAAAGACGCCTGGCCTTGTCTCTTCAGTGGATGTCCCACCTCCCAAACCCAATTGGCTTGGTAAGCAGACGGTAGCATGATGGGTTGGCTCCGGTCTTTTAACAGTGGAGCAGCAAAGGGGACCACATATCAGCCACTACTTTGGGTGGGGTGTTTACGATGCTCCCAAATAACTGACTCATCTTCAATCCACACACATAACTGCTTTCAGCCTGACCGGTGCAGAGGAGCTCACTATAGAGTACATCCACCACAGCTGTCTCTTCTTCCCTGGCCACCCAAACATCAAGTTCCAAATGGCACAGCTATAGCTCCTTTCCTTCCCTATAGGACGCCTTAAGGTCTACCACTCACGTTACACTTTGAATTTGTAAGATCTCCAGTAGTTCTACCAGCAGCAGCAGCTGCCGCCAGAGAGAGAGAGAGAGAGAGAGAGAGAGAGAGAGGCTGTGTGACAGACAGCTGTCTCTGAGTTAGTGACTTGCACGAGGAGGGCAAGCAAGACACTGCCCAGACAACAAAGCAGGAATGCCTTTGGGCACCGAGGAAATTGAGAAGGTTGGCCTTGGTGCTGCTGAACATCCCACATAACACTGGTCTTGAAAGACCTACATTGGCTCCCAGTACGTTTCCGAGCACAATTCAAAGTGTTGGTGCTGACCTTTAAAGCCCTAAACGGTTCTGACCGGACACTGAGGTCCAGCACTGAGGGCCTTCTGGTGGTTCCCTCACTTCAAGAAGCGAAGTTACAGGGAACCAGGCAGGGTGCCTTCTCAGTAGTGGCACCTGCCCTGTGGAACACCCTCCCACCAGATGTCAAAGGAAAAATCAACTACAGTGGTACCTCAGGTTAAGTACTTAATTTGTTCTGGAGGTCCGTTCTTAACCTGAAACTGTTCTTAACCTGAGGTACCACTTTAGCTAATGGGGCCTCCTGCTGCCACTGCGCTGCCGGAGCACGATTTCTGTTCTCATCCTGAAGCAAAGTTCTTAACCCGAGGTACTATTTCTGGGTTAGTGGAGTCTGTAATCTGAAGCGTATGTAACCTGAAGCGTATGTAACCCGAGGTACGACTGTATCAGACTTTTAGAAGACATCTTAAGGCAACCCTGTTTAGAGAAGCTTTTAATGTTTAATAGACTATTGTATTTTAATATTCTGTTGGAAGCCGCCCAGAGTGGCTGAGGAAACCCAGTCAGATGGGTGGGGTATAAATAAATTATATTATTATTATTATTATTATTATTATTATTATTATTATTCCCTAGACTATGGTCAACTATTACAGTAGGGAGCTGCACATGTTAATGGACAGAGGGATGAACACCCAGAAAGGAGCCCTTCACTTGCCTGCTTTCCAGGAGAGTTGGGTTTTGCAGCACACTCAGCGAGGTTTCCATTTTGAAACCATGCCAACAACTATGAGGCAACACGGGCCGAAATGGACCAGGCCATCCCCACCGTAAAAGCTCTCTCCGCAAAGGGCACTCGCCAGAGCACTTCCCTTCACACCCGCCAAGCAAAACGTTGTTCTCCTTTCAAGCTCTTCCTTTCTGTGCCTTGTTAACATGATGCAGACAAGAGGCTGATCCCATTTGGTGGGCTGAGATAAGGCGGCTACAAAGGGAATTGTCACAGCTCTGGGTGTTCTTCCATCCTGAGCCCAGGCTGGAACGGCAAGAAAATGGAAACAGCAACAGAGGAAGGGGAAGGAGGGGAAGAGGGTGGGCTTTCTGAAGTGCCAGCTCTGTGATGTTAATTTGATTGCACCCATTTCAGCTTCTTGTCTACACTGATTAGCTGCATTTCACCTGAAGCATGAGATTAATTCAAATTGCATGGAAGCAATCAGTTATGCTTACAGAGTAGTGAGGGCACCTCTCCAGGCACACCCTGCCTTGTGCACCTGCTGACTAGGGGGAGCTCCTGAGCAAGGGAGTGTTGGGCCTGGGCCTTTGCCCAAGAGAGGAGAGTCTGCAGGGCACTGCTCACAAGGGAAGTGTGAACTGGGCGGCAGCAGCCCTACGGACCAGAGACCTGGAAGGCCAGTCAAAATGGCCCTGGATGCCTTCAGATCCAATGGCTCTCAGGGAAAGCCCTCCCAAGTCCAGAGAAAAAAATAAAACAGTACAATAAAACCACACAGTGCCTAAATGATAAAAGCAACAGCAAAAAGGACATGTAACAAATGAAATCCAGCAACAGGGTCACTCAAAGGCCTGGCCCTCTCATTTACAGCAATCCCATCCATGTTTCCCCTCTGCCTGGTAAGTGACCCTGAAAGGGGTTAAGAAGCCAAGGGCCACTCCTTCCCCTTCCTTGACTTCCTACCTGGATCTTTTACCAAGTAAAAGATGCAAAAGGTCACCTGTTTAGGGACCTGTCTGAGCTGCGGCCCCTGCTTTTCATGCACACCAGCCTTCACCTCCCTCTGCCCGCTATCCAGAGAGCCCCATTAAGCAGCTGAAGCTTGTTGTCACAGGATGGCATTTCCCCCACTGCTGCTGAAGGGCCAATTCCTGAACCCAACACCCCTTTCTGCACCTAAGAGGCCCCCCCCCAGCCTTTGGGTCCTCCTATCTTCACTACAGCAGCTCTGAGAGAAGCTGGAAACTGCTGACTCTGCCGAGGGTGGCCCAGGCAGAATCCGATCACGAACGAGGTTGCTTAACAACACTTCCAGGCCACCGTGTGGGGAATTAGCAAGCCGGCTGCCCTGCCTCCTCTCTGCGCCACCACGATGTAGATTGATTGCCTGCTTTTATTAAGGACAAAGTGTTTTTTGATCGTGTGAGGGAATCAGGTCCCCAAGGGAACAGGAATCAATCCAGCGCTCCATTCCTTGCACATCGACTGCCGGGAGCCCACAGAGGAGAGCTCAAGCTCCGCAAGTGATGATAAAGGAGCTCACAGTGCAAACACAGGCGGCAATCAGAGGATATAGAGGCCGCCAATCTGCCAAGACACGCGGGGCCCACCGCGACAAGCCCTTGGCTCGCAGCCAGAGAGGCAGAGGCAGCTGCCAGCAGACGGAGGACATTGGCAGAGGCAGCAGTGCAGGGTTCACGTGGAGAGAAGCAGGTAAACTTAGCAAAGAGCCAGTGGGAGGGACAGGGCTGGGTACAAGGAGCTTCCTGGGTTCGAGAAGTCAGGACTGCCAGACAGTGCAGGAAGTGCCCAATGCCAGCCTGACCCTCAGGAGACCAGGGATGGAGTTTCAGAGTCCTACGTTAATCAGATGCCTCCACAGCACCTCAGGGGCAGGGGCAGCCCTCGCCCCTTGATGGGCACCAAGGTAGAGTACTGGCACCCATTTTCAATGGAGGGAGAAGGCGATCTCAGGCTGTCCTGCCCAAGGCCAGGCAGAAGGCCTGCGGAAGACCTGCATCTATTTGGACTGAGATCCCTGACAGGTGAACAGGCCCAGCCGGCATACTCACTTTTCACCGTAAGGAACATGGACTTGCTGATGTCTGTACCGACTCCATTGCTGGCCTGGCACAGGTAATAGCCGATGTCCTCTTCTAAAACATGCCGAATGAGCAGTGAACTGTTGGGCAGGATCTGGATGCGGCCGGTGAGGGGGACTGGGTGGTATTGCTGGGGGTTCCCACTGCCTGGGAGGAAAGAGAAGGGTGAGAGATGCTGTAAGTGCTTTTGGTTGACCCAGAGATGCCATGGGGTCCTCTGGAGATCCTCTGTGCTGTGCCTAGCAGAGCCTGCACAATCTCTCTCACTGGCCCTTAAACACGTCCAACACTGGGCAGAGTTGAACACCCCTCTGTCCCTTGCACATAGCAGCTGCTATACCTGAGCATGCCCCCTAGAGAAGATGTGTTGGATGGTTTCAATCCCCACCAGTACAGGCTTCCCATTAGCAAACCTGAAGGGGGCATGGGGGCAATATCGCAAGGAAATATCCAGCAACATACCTTTAGCATGTTTCCACATGACTTTGGGAGGGGGGTATCCATCCACAGAGCAGTTCAACACCCCTGCTTTGCCATAGATTCCATCCTGATTGTTGGGTTGGACAACAAAGCGAGGAGGGACTGTGGAGAAGGAGTGCCAAAGATAAGTACCACCAGGAACAGCAAGCTCACCACCCACTGCTGACATGTCTTTCTTTTCTTTTCCTTTCCACATGCACACACACCCTAGTCCCATGCCCTCAAAGCTCCTAACTGGTCTGAAAGAAAGATGTAACCACCTCTTGGGTAATGCCTTTTCTGCTTTTGCAGAACTCAACACCTGGGTGACCTTAAGCTTTCATTTTTGAAAAACACCAGAAGAATCCAAAAGCATCTAAGAGGTTAGAAAGTTATTGTGAAGAAGACATCACGCAATACTCCACTCTCCTCTTTAGTTGGCACATATATGTGTGCATGTACAGCAAGAGGCACCTCTACAGAAGTGTGGAGGAATAAGTCACAGTCACCACAAAACTGTTGTCATGTGCTTGGATATGGGAGGGTAGATCCAGAGTTTCCGAAGCACGATAGGTAAGAACATCAGAAGAGCCTGGCTGTAGCTCGACTGGTCCAAGAGGAGCCAATCTAGTCCAATGCTCTGCTCTCACAGTGGCCAACCTGAAGCTTCTTCTTGACTCAGAAGGTTACTAGAGAATAACAATATTGCTGGATGAATTGGGGCTACTGCTGTTGTTGCCTTCTAACATACCAGAGTTCTGATAATTTGGCATTATTTATTTCTCTAGCAAGCTGTAGGTGGCTTGCCTTTAAAAATGAAGTACAGAAAAGCCAGCATGGTTTGCCAAGCTACTCTAACCTGCTTTTGACTGGGTTACTAGCTTAGTGGATGGTAGGAATGTCGTGGACATAATTTATCTTGATTTCCGCCAAACACTTGACAAAGGCCTTACAATATTCTGGCTAGCAAACTGGTTAAATGTGAGCTTAATACTACTGGAGATTTGGGGTTCTATCTTGGGTCTGGCATAAATTCCCCCATTCAGAGTACACATACACCAATCACCCTGCTTGCTAGTTGGGAGTGTATCACCTGCACTCTGAATGGATATTTTACCCCTTTCCCTGAACTTGGTTGACATTTGACCCTGCACAGTAATGGGGGAATGCCTCTCTCTGGGTCACCAGGCTTCAATTTGCAATGCCCCCTGTGGAGAAAAAGATCTGTTCTCCTGCCCTCCATTAATGCTGAGCAAAGCAAGCAGGTATCCCAAACCAGATCCTGAATTTACAAGCCCAGAAAAAGTTCATCTGGCAGAAAGTTTGAGAAATCCTGATGATGATTTACACCAGCAATATCCATATCTGCTAGTTGGGGGGAGTCAGCCATGTCCCCTATCCCCAAATGTGTTATTCCCCTTTATCTGATGAACATGACATGCACTCTGATTGATTGAAAAGAGTCAGGTGCTGATCAAACCTTAAAAGCGAGCTGTGTTGTGTAGCTTTTTGTCCCTCACGTTCCATCCTCCATCACTGACCATCAGAAAACCTGCAACTGACCAACTATGCCGTGTAATGCATGAGGAGGCAAGAAGCCTTTTTGCAAGTAACTAGATTCAAACTAAAAGAGCACATTTTATTTTCATTCTGCTTTGTCCACTTGTCTTCCTCCTTTCCTTCTGTTCTCAATAAATCTCATATAGGTGGGCTGTTGGGCTCTGAAGTGTGTTTTCCCAACCTCTAGGATTCTGGTTATCCCTCATGTGCCTGTGTCATTTGATTAATGCTACGGGAGTGTAAGGTTGGAGTTGTTAAAGAACAACAGGCTGCTCTGGTCTCTTGCAAGGTGGGGAGGTGAAGGTGGAGAAAGACAGACAGACAGACAGACAGACAGAGACAGAGAACATGCTCTGACTGCTAGCTTTGCTCCCTGAGTAAACTGACAGGATCTGGCTGGGAAACATCGAGTGTGTTGTCTCAGGATCCCAAGTACCCTTGAGCAGGTTTCCCTCCCATTTGGGTGCTGTAAACTTGACAGGGAGTGATGGCAGCAATTACCAGGTAGTTAAGATGCCACTGGTCAACACTGCAGGTCTCTTGTGCAGCAGTTGTGCAAACAAGGGTACAAGGTGGCTCTCCTAGCTTCCCCCCTCTGTTAAATGCCCCCCTCTCTTTCTGCTTCGGACATCTGTTGTTATTCACTAAGGAGCTATCAAAAGATGGCTATGATGGTTCCCCCTTGAGAAATCGACACTCCCAGCTCTTCAGGCAGTGAATGGACTGGCCTGGCTTATGCAGGCAGTGCATGTCTGGGGCACCAAGGGTTGTGCTTCTGTGCCCTTTGGGAGTCTTTTGCCCTCAGAAGAATGTAAAGAGAGCATATCCTGTTCCCCACAGTGGCCAACCAGACACTGACAGAAAACCCTCAAGCAGGACTTGGAGGAAGCAGAGGCTCACATGTGCGCACACAAGCACAGTTCAGCCCCCAGCAAGTGGCATTCAGGGGCCTGCTGCCTCTGGCCCAGCAGGTTCCATGCAGCCATCATGACTAACAGCTGCTGACAGACCCACCCGCCCGCCTTCCTTCCTTCTCCTCCATGAGTTGTCTAATCCCCTTTTAAAACTGTCTAAACGAGCAGCTAGTGGCCATCACCTCTGGGGCAGCGAGCTGCATAGATCAATTGTGAGGAAGTACTTATTCCCAATTAAAAGGTTCACGTTAGCAGCAGGTTCTGAGGAAGACTGCCCTCCCTGCCTGAGACCATCCTGGAGAGCCAGTGCTGCCAGCCAGAGCGGAACAAACTGAGCTAGATGGACAAAGAGCCTGGCCTGGAATAAGGCAAGGGAAACTTCCTGAGCTCATCCCCCACTTCTGCCCTCTCTACTCCAATTGATTTCACTGGATGGGCCAGAGTGAAGGAAGGAAACTCCTCCCACTTTCCATAAAGCTCTATTGGGTCACCTTTTCCTAAACTTCAAAGCCCCAAATGCTGAAGCTCTTCCATACAGGGCTGGTGCTCCAGCTGCCTGATAGTTCTGTCCGCTTTTGTGGGCAGAGAAGCCTCGTGATGCACCTTTGCTCCTCTCCTGCACCACAGAACTGGACTTTTCTTTCCTTCACTAGAGGACTTAAACCACCACCTTCCACTCAGTTCACGAAGCCAGTTTTCCCACCCCAAGTATATGGCCCTCACAGCTTTCCACAGGGCATATTCTCCACTCACCTTTGAGATCAGATGGGGAGCACAGCCAAAGAGTGACAATCACCCCACACTGGGCAACTCTGCCAGTGGCTCCTGAACCTCAGCACATCAAAGCCCAGGGGCCGGCTACTCACCTCGAACAATGAGCTGCCGCTCACGGCTGACGGTGGCAGCATCGTTGGTAGCAATGCAAGTGTAGTTGCCGTTGTGCTTGAGGGAGACGCTGGAGATCTGCAGGGAGCTCATGAACTCCTTGCTCTCGATGGTGACGCCGGAGCCGGAAAGGATCACCTGCCCGTCTTTCCTCCACGTGATGCGGATGGGCATGTCACCCGAGGAGACCACGCATGGGATGTACAGGAGCTGGCCGATGGAGGCCGGAGGGAATTCGAAGGGCTGGATGAGAGGCGGGACTGCCAATGAGAGGAGCGCATTGATCACACCTGTTCCCAAATGACTGGGAAGCCAAGAAAAAGGAGATTTCGTCCAGCTCAGCCTCCAAGGAGAACAGAACTTAGGCCCAGGAGACTCTGCAAAGCCCTGAGGAATTCCTTACCCTCAGCTCCCCATGTGAAGGATGAATTTATAAGTCAACTGGATGTATTTCCTTTGTGTGTGTGTGTGTGTGTGTGTGTGTGTGTGTGTGTTTAAAGGTGGGGGGTGGGGGGAGTGTGACAAGGCTGTAGTGGTGAGTAGTGCCTCTTTCTGGCCACCATCCCAGTGAGCTCAGGACAGATATTTGGACGGATGGGTAGAGGTGTCTCCTGGTTCACTCAGTGGCCTCTTAGTTTCTTGCACTCCACAAACTCTTCATCACTCCTCTCAAACTCTTTTTTCTCTTTCAGCCTGCAGTACTCACCCACTTGAAAGGGGTTCCACAAGATAAAAGAACGTGGAGCACTTTGAACACTCTTGCCAGGTGAGCAGCAGGCATGCAAAGAGATCAGATCTGCAAAGCAACAGTCGGCTTTCCTCACACCCCATCAGGAAGAGAATTCATTCTCTTCTGCAGCAGCCTTAATACTCCCACTAATGCCATTGCAAAAGGACTTGGAACTGGTTCCTCCAGTGACCAGAATGGCTCTCAGTTGGGAGCCCCAGGAGCCACCTAGGAATACTAGATGCACTTGATTCCCTCAAAGAAACATTGATGGCGGGCACTCAAACAAAGTAGGAAGGCAACTCCTGACAAGCAGAGACCACTGGTGGTTCTGCCCAAAGCTTCAAAGTAAGTTGGGGACACTGCCCTCATGGTCATTGGACCAAGAAAGATTTGAAGCCCTACCTCAGTACCATGCCACAGACTGGGGTGGCAAAAGGGGATGTGAGGTGAGCCATCTCCTAAAGTAGCAAAGGACAGTTCTCGCTGCTCTTAAAGGGGGGGCGGGGACATCCTGAACAAGCAGCAAAGCAAGTGAATTGAAGGAGCTGAGGATCAGCTACTGACCTGAGTGCAGCCTCGGCAGCAGATGCCACATTTACAACTCAGCCCTGCCAGCCAGTAAATCACCCTTGATCTTTAAGGGGCCCAAACAAACAGAGATGTCTGCTGTGGTTAGCCTCCCAGCTTTGGGCGTGGGCGTTCTCACCAGTCCTGCCTCCCCTGTCAACTGAGGTTCTTTCATCCCTGTGCTACTCCAGTCATGAATACTGGTTGCTCCCTTGCCTCTGCTTTGCCAAAGGCAGGGGACTTCCTCCACTGCTCTCCCATCTGGGAGAGAGGAAGGCAGCCGGGTGCTTTGTCCTTTTGCCCCTCCCACAAAAACCCTCTTCCCTGCAGAACAGCCTTGCACCCTTGCAGCAGTTCGAACAGAGCAAGGGGCTTCCGGGCTTCCAAGCAAAGCCTCTGCTCAGCACCATCCTCACTTACGTAAAGATCAGCCCGAAAAGGTTCCTGCAATGGGGAGAGGAGGGCAGGAGCAAGTGTCCGAGAAAAGACAACGCCTCAACTTCCTTCTGAAACCAGGAAGAAACCCCAAAAATTCTGAGAACAAAATTGCCGAGTGCCACCCTGCTGACAACAAAGCTCGCCCTGAAAAAAAGAGGCTCCAGTTGCTGTAGTGAAGGGAGGCGGGCTCTGAATAATCATTTGTAAGCTAATCTAAGCTCCTTGGAGGAAAACTAGAGGGGGAGCGCTGGGGGGATTTTATTTATTTTTTAATAAAAAAACCCAAGAACATCTTGGCTGGTTTTCCAGTGTGTGAGCACAGGCATCGAGGTCTGCTGGCACCAAGACACACACACACATCCAGACAAGCTGAAGGAGCTGTCAGAGCCATCTCTGGGTCCAGCGGAAGCACCATCCTAAGCAAGAGAGGGCTTGTAAGAGCTAAACCATGCTGCTGCAGCAGCAGCAGCAAGTTCTCACAACAACCAGTGACCTCCTCAGCCCATGCAGCCTCCTGCCTGTCTCCAGGATACTTTGCACCCTTCATAAACTGAGCAGGGCAGCAGCACGTGGGAAAGGGAGGCAACATCCACACAGAGCAGACCACCTCGCTCAAGCTACCCTGTTTGCGAACCTTTAAAGAGGGCAGCGCCTGAGATGGAGCTCAATCTCAGCAAGTCACTGGGATGGAAAGGACGGGATTCTCCACTACTGCAATTCATTAGGGCTGATGGCTCCCTGAATGGGGCTGAATAATTGATGGGCTGGAGAAGCTTTTAAGATGTTCTGCGTGCTTGGAAGACAGAGAGGATTATTTTTTTAAGAGCTACACACTGAAAACCACCAACAAAGGTGCTCTGAGCAAAGGTTAGATGTTTTAATCTGGTATGTTTACACTGTACATTCTGCTCCGCTGCTTGTCAGGGGAAATGGATACTCCAGGGCTGGGGGGGGGGGGCGCACCTAGGCCAGTAACCGAACTAATGTGTGGGCAGGGCAGGAACACAAACCCCACATGGTTCTCTCTGCCCAGCTCACTTGCCTTTATCAGAGGGGGGGGGTCCCTCTTCCCTGGGAGACAAAGATGATCCTTGCATTCCCATCCCCATTCCACCAACCTGGGGCAGCTCAGAGGAGATATTGGTGGCAGGAAGTGAACCACAAGGTCACACTGCACACAGGGAGGATGGGTCAACACAGACGCCTCTGGCATGCCAAACACAAAGACTACTGGAGTAGAGACTGATGGGATGACTCTTCAGCAGGCTGGGTTGCAAAGGAGGGCAACAGAATCAACAGTGTAGCCAAGTGTGCCCAGGTTGCCCAGTCAAATTGCCCTGGGCATTGTTATTTATCTATTATCAGATTTTGACCCCTCCTTCCAAGGAGCTCAGTGTGGCAAACATGGATCTCTTCCATCACTACGCTGGCCTGAGACACATGGGCTGGTCCATCACAGTCACCCACTGCAGCGGGGGGAACCGAATCTGGCTCTCCCAGGTGCTAGTCCAACCCTCTTAAAGAGTGAGGCCCTTTCAACAGGGCTGTATAGTTTGCGGTTTCCCATTCAGCTGAGCTCCTGGAACACACCCAACAGCAAAGCCTGGAAGAAGCCTCTGTCTTCACTTGCTTACATCTGAGAGGAGGCAGTTCCCTCTCAAAGCCCTCCAGTGCCAGAGAAGGGTTTGGTAGCTGGTTCAAAAGAACAACATCCCACAGCCAACATCTGAGCCTGAGAATCCTACTTGGCTTGGCCAAGGTCCTGCTGTCTTCAGGCTCCCCTTAGACCAGGCAACTGCACAGCAACACCTGATCCTAGTTTTGAATCCCATCCTTTCAGCTGTGACTGCCTACTATCAGAGAAGGCACAACCATAGCCGCAGCATGTCCAACTCTCCAGGAGCTGGCTGAGCCATTGCTTGGACTAGAGGGATGTGGACAGCACTGGGAGGGGGCTGGAGATCCACCAGCCCTGCTGTGGCTCCTGCCTCCAGCCACTCACCTTTCACAGTGACATGGACACTCTGGCTGATTGAAAGCTGTGGCTGAATGAGGACACTGCATAGGTACTCCCCTTCATCCATCCCCTTCTGGACATCCATAAGCTTGAGAGTGCCATTTTCAAAGACCACTTGCCGGTGGTTGTCAGGCAGGAGCAGTGAGTCCTTGTACCATTTGATGGAATAATATGGGTAGCCAATCACCCTGCAGTTGATGAAAGTGTCCCTTCCTGCCACGGCTGTAATGTTCTTCATTGCGCGGATGCTGGGGGGGCCTAAAGAGAGGGGGGAGGGGGAGGAAAGGAGCAAGCTAGGTGAATTCCAAAGGCAAAAGGCTTTTGCACGTAGAAGACAGAACTGGAGGCAAGGTTGCTCAGTAATTGGCAGAAGGTGGAGCCTGGGTGGCTGAGTGGAGAACATCACAAAATGGCTTTCCATTAAACCTGTACACATCTTCTGAGGGCCCTGCTATCCATGGGGCAAAAAGACCCACACAGTGCCACAGCCCCAACCCTAATACCTTGCAACGTTCAGTTCCGTCTTGAGGGCCCCTTCAGCCAGAGGATTCGGCCCTTTCACCATCCTCAGACTCAGAGGATGAGTCCACAGCAATACCTCCAGGCTTACAGAAGTCAAGACTGCATAAGGGCATAAGAAGAGCCTGCCGCTGGATCAGGCCAAGGGCCCATCTGGTCCAGCATCCTGTCCTCAAAGTGGTCAGCCAGATGCCTGTAGGAAACCTGCAAGCAGAACCTGAGCCCAAGAGAACTCTCCCCTCCTGCAATGTCTGGCAACTGGTATTTAGAAGCATATTGTATTTGACTGTGGAGGCAGATTGTGGAGATAGAGCTTTCTTCCATGAATTTGTCTAATCCTCTTTCAAAGCCATCCAAATTGGTGGCCATCACAGCCTGTTGAGGAAGCAAGTTCTATAGTTTAACTAGGAACTGAATCTTCCAACATTCAGATTCTCTTGATGAATCACGAGTACTAGCATTAAGAGAGAGGGGTACAAATTTTATCCACTTTGTCCATGGCATGCATAATTGCATAAGCTTCTATCATGTTACTTCTCACTCACCTTTTCTCTAAACTAAAAAGTCCTGAAAGCTGCAACCTTTCTTCATAGGGGAACAACTTTCGGGAGGTGGAGCTACCCACACTACACGTCTTCTCAGCAAGCACAAGGGTTTGGTTCCCTGGTGGGATATCTTCCTACCGCTATTTCAGTATGAGAGACCTTCAGCCAGCAGGGTTGAACTGAAGCTAATAGAGGTCTTGTTTTCCTCTGCCCTCTGCACAGGAAAGCTTCTAAGTGGACTTTTCCTGCCTTGATCTGCCCTTGTATCCCATGCCTGGACTCCCTACCATGACTAGACTTTATTGACTTGGTTTCTCCTGGCATATTATTACTTGACTTCATCAGTTGCTGCCAGCTTCCCTTGTGAGACTCAAGAGCCCACAGAACAGGATGCACAGCATGATATGGACATGTTCTCTTACAGTGATCTCCTATTTTCCCAGCATATAGAAACTTACTTGTTGCTGGAAAGGGTATAATCTGCCCTTTCCACCCACCGTATCTGCCCAAAGTGACCTTGAGTTCTATGTAGAATATGGAGAACTCACAGTGGAGGCTGCCAGGATATGCCCTCAAGGCAATGCCTTGGTTAGTAAAAGTTGGGTCTTGATTAGTTCTTTTTTTTATTACCAGTGTCTGTTGAGTTCTTTAATGACCAAGAAATCTGCCACTGTGCTTACAGAGCCCTTTAAATATGTTTTTAGGATACTTTGTTTAATTTATATAGCTGCCAATCAATAAATATTCTCTAGCTGCCTTCAAAGTAATATTAAATAAACTTTGAATAATAGTTAAAATCAATACTAAAAGTCAGCAAAAAAGCTTCCTTACAACAGAGGTAGCAGAAAGCAACTTTAAGCTTGGATTTAAAACATAAAGGACTCCTGACCATTAGGTCCAGTCGTGACCGACTCTGAGGTTGCGGCGCTCATCTCGCTTTATTGGCCAAGGGAGCTGGCGTACAGTTTCCGGGTCATGTGGCCAGCATGACTAAGCCGCTTCTGGCGAACCAGAGCAGCGCACGGAAACGCCGTTTACCTTCCCGCCGGAGCGGTATCTATTTATCTACTTGCACTTTGATGTGCTTTCGAACTGCTAGGTTGGCAGGAGCAGGGACCAAGCAACGGGAGCTCACCCCACCACAGGGATTCGAACCGCCGACCTTCTGATCGGCAAGTCCTAGGCTCTGTGGTTTAACCCACAGCGCCACCCACGTCCATTTTAAAAGATACTTGATGAATAAAAAGGTCTTCACTTGACACTGAAAAGACCATGGAGAAGGTGCCAGGCAAGCCTCTCTGGGGAGGCTAATCCATATCAGAGGTGGAAAAGGCCTTTTCCTTGGTAGTCACCTGCTCCATTTCATCTGGTCAGGATCAGGGCCTCCAAAGAGGCTGTTAAGGTTTGGGTGTTTGCCAGAGGCAGCAACATTTTGTGTAGTCTGGTCCTAAGTCAGGCTTCCTCAACCTCAGTACTCCAGATGTTTTTGGCCTACAACTCCCCTGATCCCTAGCTAGCAGGACCAGTGGTCAGGGATTATGGGAATTGTAGTCTCAAAACATCTGGAGGGCCGAGGTTGAGGAAGCCTGTCCTAGGCTATCTAGGGCTTTCCCTGCCGTCTTTCTAGATCCCTGTGCCTTCCTGGAGCTTCCATCACCTGTAACATGTCAAAATATAAAATCACCAATATATATGCTGGGATCCCTGCAAAACTGTCCTGGTGGCCAGGAGTTCCACCATCCTCTAGCAACACTTTACTCTGTAAACTGCTGGATTGTCTTGTTGCCAAACAACACTGCAGAGAAAATAAAAGGGGGTGGGTGGGTGGGGGTGGGGAGCCACAAAGAACAAAGGGGACATTCTACCAAACCAGAACCAAAACCCAATGCAAGAAGAACCTATTCTGATATTTAAAAGTAGACAGGCACCTCTTACGTTTATTCGCGCTTGGTATTCGGCGCTGCCCACCGAGTTCCGCGCGGCACAACGGTACACCCCTCCATCCTTGATCTGCGGGCTTGTCACGTTCATGTGGCTGACGGTGGTGCCATCTGACATGGTGTACTGGTTGGTGCGGTGGCTGCTGTCCCTCTGAATGGGCTCGTCATCCAGTGCCCAAGTGACTGTGGGCGGAGGGGCCCCCTTGGCAGCGCACATCAAGGAGAACTGTTCGCCTGGGTTCACCACCTTTTCACTGAAGGATGAGATGATCCGGGGGGTCCCATCTAAGAGAGGCCCACAACAGGGGGAGGGAGTTTAGATGAAGGGGTGAGGGCAAGTCTGAGCACCCATTTCCCCTCCCACCCACATATCTTCAGCGACAGAAAAGCTGGAGAATTCTGAACCTTCTAGCCAAGTTGAGTAGGTCAAATCCTGCAACCTTGTCCAAGGCCTGTGGGGGAGCTCCAGCCACCACATTTTGCAGTGGATATCTCAGGGAATTCTCCCTCTCTTCCCCTCCCTACATTTGAGCCTCAAGTAGGAGAAGAGGGGAAGCATTGCAGTTCAGTGCTAGAGCTACTGCTTTGCATGCGGAAGGTCCCACATTTAAGCCCTGGCAGCATCTCGAGGTAGGGCTGGGGGGGACCCATGCCTGAAACCCTAGAGAAACACTGACAAGTCAGTGCAGTGTAGACAATACAGAGTTAGATGGGACATCTTCCTATGTTCCTAAGCGTGCTATGGAGTTCCTGGAGCGATGTCCTATACATCACCTGCCAGCTGCAGAAATGCACAGGCCCTGCTTGCCAAATGGCTGCCTTCTTCTAGCACTCCATAGCTATAAGAACATACAAGCAGCTGTACTGATGGATTGGACCTAAGGGGGACCACCTAGTCCAGTGGCCATCAGGAAGCTTGCAAGCAGAGTCTGAATGCAATAGACCTCTCTAACTGTTGCTCCAGGCCAACCACCATCAAACATAACCTCTGAAAGAGGGTGCCTATCAACTTGAGGACTACAGTGGTACCTCGGGATGCGAACGGGATCCATTCCGGAGCCCCATTCGCATCCCGAACAGAACGTAAGACGTGACAGCGTGTCTGCACGTGCGCGGGTCACATTTCCCCGCTTCCGCGCATGCCCGGACAGTCAAAATGATGTCGCACGCATGCGCGAGTGGCGAAACCCGGAAGTAACATGCTCCGTTACTTCCGGGTCGCCGCGGAGCGCAACCCGAAAGCGTTCAACCTGAAGCATATTTATCCCGAGGTATGACTGTAGTAGCAAGTAAGTTTCTTCGATGCCTAACAGCCCCTTTATAATCATCTAAGCCTGTGGCCCCCACCACATCTCACGACAGTGAATGCCAAAGTTTAGCTATATGCTCCTGCTGTGTGAATAAGTCCTCCCTTTTGATTCTTCCCATAATCTCTGGACATTCCACTTCACTGGCTGGACCTAGTTGTGGCAGCTGCAGAAAACTTCCTCTCTGCCCACTCTCTACACACCTTCTGTAGTGTTACGCAACCCTATGATGCCCCCCAAATACTTATAAACCCTTAGAGAATTTCAGTAGGATTGGAGGAAAGGGAGGTGTGAGGAGGTCGTGGAAATAAGTGAATGAAAGATAAGATATTGAAATTGTTTGATGTGTTTTAAACTGTTTTTGTTTTGTTTTGTTAGTTTAATGTGTTAGTGTTATGTAGTGTCTCTGTATTGTATTGTTCTTTTTTTGTGGTGTTTAAATTGTTGGAAAAGTAATAAATATTATTTTTTTAAAAAAGAGAGAATTTCAGTAGGATTGGGAGACATAAAATTAGCATGGTTAAATCAATATATCTAAATAGAAATCTGAGGAGGAAAGAGACTTAAATACTTCTAAGAAAGCTAACTTGAATATGTTGGAGTTTAACTTCCTTGTTGTTGTTTAGTCGTTTAGTCGTGTCCGACTCTTCGTGACCCCATGGACCAGAGCACGCCAGGCACTCCTGTCTTCCACTGCCTCCCGCAGTTTGGTCAAACTCATGCTGGTAGCTTCAAGAACACTTCCTACTTCCTACCTAGGAGCTACTTTGCTATGTTCATCCACAGCAAAACATGGAATCAGGCAGCCAACCTGCCAGGAGAGAATCTCCTTGCCCGCTTGCCCGCTCTCATTCTCTCTCTCTCTCACACACACCCACCCCAGTATGTCAAGGATACTGAAACCACCAAGGAGCCAAACTCACCCTCCAGCACAATGATGGCAAAGTCCTGAGCAGTTTGAGCCTTCCTGCTGGCAAAGCATTGATAGACTCCTGAATGGCTCTTCTGGGCAGCTGTGATGAGCAGCGTTTCATTGTTGATTCCCCGGATGGAGATGAAGTCATCTGGTGCCACCAGCTCTGTGTTGCGATACCAGCGGAGAGTATATTCTGGTGAGCCCAAGAGCGTGCATGAGAGGATGATGGTGCTCCCGATGCCGGTCTTCAGCTTCTTTGGTGTGAGGGTGACGTGCAGGGGGTCTGCGGGAAAAGCAGGGTCCATGCTCAGAGCAGCTAGCCGACACCATGCAGAGTAAGCGGCCATACCACTAATGGCCCACAGCAGCACCCCTCCAACATTTACCACAATGCAAGGCTCACAGAGATGCCAACACAGGGTAGGATTGAAAAGACAGCAGTCCTCAAGGCAAGTACCAGCCGTTTATTGGTACTAGGTGCTAGGGATCACTGGGCACGGTACAAGGCGCTGGGCTGCCTTGGTGCAGGGCCAGGGGGAGGGGAGCAGATGCTGCTGAGAGCCCATAAGGCAGAGAGAGATTCATTGCCATTCCCCCTTGAAATCCCAATGCCTGTCTCTGACCCACATCCAGCCACAGACTCTTCTTCCTGTCATCCATTTGCCTGAGCAATGGAAAGGCAGAGTGGCCTTCATTTTTCGCCCCCGAGCAACCAAGGCCTTCCATTGGGGAGTGCAGGCAAGGAGATGGCAAGTTGAGGGTGCCCTTGAGAAACAGAGGCTCCTCTCTCACACAGACCCATCTGCAGAGAAATGTCACTGAGTAATAAGGCAGGTGCACACAGTGCTCCCCCTGCCCCGCCTCCTGCCAGCAGTTTCTTCTCGGTGTATCAGTTTCCCTCCCAGGCTATGAAGGAGTTGTCAACTTAGAGAACGAAGGAGCTGTCACACCAGGGCTGACATACAAGGTGTGACAGACCTGCTTGGAGCAAACACCACTTCCTTGCACGGCACATCACCATGCTGCACCTCAACTCTGACCCTTCATCTCCTCAGGCATGGAGCCAATCTAGGGGAGGGAGTGGGTCTTCAGAGGGTTGCCTGTCTCCACTCCATTTGCAACTGTTGAGGGCTCAAGAACATGGCAACCTCTCTTGCAAAAAGAGAGAGAGTGAAAAGAACCCTTCTTCTGGGCAAAACGCTGGCTGCCCCAGCTCAGAGAAGCATATTGCGGGAGGGAGAAAGGGGAAGCACAAAGAAAAGCAGCCCAGCACAAAGCAGGACCAGTCCTTCCCTCACCCCCCAAGATAAGTAAAGTGGGAAATCTGAGGGTGGCAGCAAATGTTTGCTTGGAACAACTTCCCACCACCCAGGCTTTGAGTAGGAAGGAACGAGGCACTGGGCTCCAGAACCCAGTGCTGGGCTGTGTCACTCTTATCCATGCAAGGAGCTTCCGTGCACTGAGATCCCATGGATGATGCCTGCAACCTTCTTTCCTAGGCCAGCGCTGCCTCCTGCCAGCTAGGCAATGCCTGCAAGAGAAGGAGGCACCACACCACTGGCCTTGTACCCTGGAGCAGAGTGAAACTGCACTACATGAGCACAGCTCCCACAGGCTTCCCATCTTATGAAATATAAGGTGTGTCATTGTTCAGACAGGAGTACATAAGAATATCTTTTAAGGTAGATCAGACCAGAGGAGGGCACATCTCATCCAGCGCTCTGTTCTCTCATGGGCCAACAACCTGATGCCTCAATGGGAAGCCTGCAGATCCGGCTCTTCCTCCACCTACCTATCACTGTGAGGGTCCCGGTGACCTCAGCAGACCCAAAGGTATTTGTGACTTCACAGATGTACGTCCCGCTGTCCTCTACTCGCAGGTCACTGATCGTCAGCCCAGTGACACGTTTGGTCCATCGACTGTCAGCAGGCAGTGGCCGACCACCCTTGATCCATCGGATGGCTGGGTTAGGGTAGCCAGAGGCTATGCATGGAAGTTCCACCAGCTGACCTGCCTTTGCTTCCCGGGACTGGAAGCCATCTAGGATGGTTGGGATGGATTCTGCAGGGTCTGAGAGCAAAAAAGGAAAAAAGGGGAAAGGTGGGGGGAGAACTTTCACCATCAAGCACTCAAGCCCTGAAATTCTGTGAATGGAGCACATTATACAAGCTTGGAAATCTCAAATCCTTTTAAGTACTTAGTCTCCCCTCCCCTTAATCGTCTTTTCCTCTCTCCTCAATGGATTTGCATCCATTTGCAAGTTCGTATCCTTTCTGAACTGTGGTGCTCCAGACAGAACTCCAAACATGATCTTTTGAGTTTTCTCACTGGGGGAACAAAGGGGAAGGAAGCCCAATACTGGGAAATTGTTCCAAATAAGAGGGACAGGATGTCTGCACCCTCTCTTACCTAAAAGGCCACCTTCTGTAGGAGCTGGTGACAAATGGACACCCAACTTATTAAGAGTCCCTCAAGAGCATACCCAACTGGTGTGACATTCACAACTTTTTCTGATACATTCTGAAATCCACAAGCCACTAGTCAGGCTACCATTGAGAGCAGAAGATGAATGACCAAAACTCACACATGAAATACACCTTGGTGGGGTTTGGGGTGGGCAGTAAGAAACCTCTCAAGTTGCTCCAGGTATGAAGAAGGGAGGAGAAGAAGGTAACTACTGTAAGGGCCACACACAGGGGAGGAGCTGCTTAGGAAGAGGTCAAGCTCTGGGGAGGGCACTGCTCCTTGCCTGGGGCAAGGTAGGAGACCCATCCAAGGGCCTGGATGCCCACTGCCAAATGCCTAGCTCTTCCACAACCCTAGGAAAATGCAACCACATATACACAAAAAACACTCAAGGCTTCTTTTCTCCCAGGCTTCCTCTAGCCTTCATTTGGGCAAAGGCCTGCCTGTCTGCTCAGCTGAAGGAGAGCCCTTTAGGGGTTTTTTCAGAATCTAAGGAACACTAAGGGAATTTTACCCAGGCATGTTGTTATGGCCATGGGTGTAGCAGGGGGCAGGGGGCGGGGCAGAGGGGCAGCTGATCCCCCTAAATAAATACAAATCTGAGATTCTGCCCCCACTAACAAAAGCCTGCCCCCCCCAAAAAAAAATCCTGGCTATGCCCATGGTTGTGGCATTTTCTTAAACTCAAGGTTAGATTAAGGCTTTCAGAAGCAATTCTCACCTAGTTGGGCAGGGGGAAGGAGTTCTATGCCAAACACAGTGGAATGGCCAGGAAGCACCAGAGTTTGGTCTGGGGCTGTCCTACAATCAGACTTGCTTACTGCTGCTCATGTTCACCCCAGAGTGGTTCTGAGAGCCATGAGGGCATTGGTAGTCCAGAGTGGACACTGGGGCAGCCACATTCCACAAATCCAATGCCTCCTCTTTATTACATCATGGGCTCTCATATTTACCTGAGTGAGGGAATTAAGAAGCGGAGCAGCCTTCACAGGAGAAGCTGTGAGCCTTACAGTGCATCCTTGTGGAAAGCCCAAGAACAGACAACCAGCTATTTCACCAACCAAGATAAGGCCCATCAAATCCCAAGAGCAATCCTAAGCCATCCAACATGCCCCAATCACACATGCCCCTCTTCTCTTGGGAGGGACACAAAGGTTCAGATCCAGCTTAAGCGACCTGGGAAACAGCCCAGCAAGACATACCTGAGACGGACAGTCGGGCTCCATTGCTCTGCCGCGTCTCGCCACTGTACTTGTGCTTGGTGATACACCTATAGGTGGACAAGGCATCTTCCTTCTGGACGTCTGATATGTACAACCCACCATAGAAAGTAATGAAAAACCTATTTTCTGAAAGAGATAAATAGAGAAAATGAATGAAAACACATTAGTGTTCTTGCTCATGTGCTGAGAAACCAAACCCCCCTCTGCCTGGCTACGGGTAGGGAAGAAAAACAGGGAGACAGCACAATACTGCTAAGATAGGCAGGTCTGGAACTTCTACAGGGTGGTCTGAAGGCAAGAAAGCAGAGCTCTTGCTTGGAGCCCAGGCAGCTGCCAGGAGGAGGCACCCACATTTTCCGTTCTTGCTGGCTGGAGGTCTGCTTATATCGCAACAGCACATCCTTGCTAGGCTGGAATTTTTTACCAACCACTTCTATATTAATAAATGATTAACAAATTTATGGTGGCAGGATCCTCCTTTGATAGATACACAAAGAGGACAGCAAGAACTACTGTGTGTGTGCGCCGCACAAATTCACATATACACGCCTCACTCCTTCTCTCCCATCCAATGGACTGTTTTGCCATTGGTGAGATACCAGCTGTAGGGCTTGCTTCATCATCCATCCACCCACCCTCTCCTCTTATGACAACAGCTTCAGAGTCAGTTTGGTTTCCACCCTCCTTCTATGAATGGCAACCGGAGACCATTCAGAAGAGCCACTTCTGGTCTTGGAGCCCTAGATCATGCACAAAGAACGAGCCTGAACAGAGGAAGCAGCAACCTAAAGTTTGCTGACATCTCCTGCACACTACCCCAGCCCTCCGCTGAAACAACCACATTACAATTAAAAGGAAATCCATCCTGCTGCGTTAATAATTTGCTCAAATTACTGAGGAGCCTGTGAAAACAAATAGACCCTGAGGGAGCCTAAAGGAGGCAAACAAAGGCAGGCTCATCTGTGGCTTGCAGGCAGCAGCAGCTCCATGGCTGACCCGGCCAGATACTATCTAGTCCCCAGCACCGCCAGAAGGAAGGGCTCTCGCGTAATCATGTGCAGGCAAGAGATGCAGCCAACCCAGTGGTCCTCGTCTGCTTTGAGCCCATCTGTCACTCAGAGATTGAGACTGGTCCCAAGCACAAAACAGGTACAGGACCCAGCTCTGGCATACAAGGAGGAAAGGAAGTGCTGGAAACCGCCTGTAGAGAAGAGTGCAGAGAGAAATGAGACCAGGAAGGGAGATCTCCTCTCACTCACACATGCCCTGCTGCATCTTGGTCTAGCCTGTAAGCAACACATTTGGAACTCCCCAAATACTTAGGAAGCCTCAAGAGTTTAAACCAGAGGAGCAAATCATGCCAGGAGGGAGTAGCAGGAAGCCAAATAGGAGAGGGGCAGAGTGGGTCTGCATGCCTCCTTCTGTCTTGGCAATAGGTATTGCAAAGGGAAGGCAAATACTGTGGTTGGGAGGGACATCCCAGCAGCAGACACAGCAGACAAGCCGGCCCAGAACCTCTTATCAACCAATGGGCACGGGAGCTTGGCTGCCCTGGAATTTTAAGGAAAGGGTGGAGGTGAGGGATGTAGTTGCTATGGCAATGAGCAACTGCTGCTTTGCAAATTGCTGCTTCTCTCCCCCTCCCCCTTTCCCATTTTTTGTGCACATTTAATTGATGGTGCTTTTTCAGCAGCATCAGGTCTCTCTTCTAGGCACGAAGGGTTTTGCAAGCAAAAGCAGCTCAAGGGAGAAGACCCAAGAGAGATCTTTGGCAGCACCAGCTAGCTCAATGCTCCACGCTCAACAGGAATCAAGCAGAGACCTACTCTAGAGTGATGGGAGAAGGAACTGAAAGGACTGGCAGCCGAGTATCACTGCTACAAAAGGAACATCAGCCCAAACTCCCTCTACCAAAAGGGATGGGGGGAGGAGAGAGGGAAATTGAAAACCTTTTGCTGATCAGTCACCCTTGAATCTGGGGGGAACAAGGTTGTCTCATAACCCCACCTTAGCCTACCACCCCTAGAAGACTGCATTAAAGGCTGGCTGGCTGACTGACTGACTCTGATCGACCCTCAAGAGATAAAATGCAATCATATTATTTTGTTCTAGTAAGAAATACATGCATTTTCTTGAATAAAATCATAAATAATAAATAAATCTGACAAGGAGCTAGTTCACCTGCCGCTATTCCTTTCCAACGGATGTGCGCTGTGCCTCAGTTTCCCATTTGTAAAATGGGTGTAGGAATCAGTTTCCCTGCTGTGTGGCTCTCCCTGCCCCTCTGGTGCTTGTACCTCATGACCTGCAGGGCCTCAGGTGTAATGGAAAGGACCACTTTCCCCCATAGAAACCTGCCTGTCATTTTCTGGATGCCTTCCTTCAGATGTTAGGCAGGAATGGATGTAGCTGGTGGGGTGCAGAGGGGGGCAGCTGTTCCCCCCCAAATAAAAATACTTAAGTAACTGACCAACTGGTTGCAGATAACTCGGTTCTGCCCCCACCCCCAAATCCTGGCTACACCCATGTAGGCAGGTGGCATGGTGGGGGTCTCTCTCTCTCTGAGCATCCGTCTGGTGTGCAGAAAGTTCCAGGTTCAAGCCCCAGTGACATCTCAAGGTGGGAATGTCTCCTGCCTGGAAAGCCACTGCCAGTCAGTGCAGGCAACACTGAGCTAGATGGGGTAATAGTCTGACTCAGCATAAAGCAGCTGCTTTTAGAAAACCAGTAGCGTTTATCATCTTTACTCTGAGCATCTTTGCCTTATGTATCCTATAATCTGATTGAGGTTGGAGACCTGTGGTTTTGTTTTTAATTATATCTGTAATCCAGCTAGCATGCTCTTACAGGAGAAGAGCAGGAGCGCGATTTCTCAAACAAGTAACTAAAATAAAGCATGCTCCACCACCGACCAGCCTTCAGCCTCCCACGCTGGGGAACCACCCTGGGTTGTGACCCCAGATCCAGTGCAGACATGTGCTGGAGCCAGAGAGACGCAGCACACAGCCACCCCTTCAAAGAGAGGAGGATTCGCAAACCCCGAAAGGGCTGAGCCCTTCCTGGATACAACAACCACTTCTAATACAGAGGAGGGGAAACGAGGATCGATGAGGGTTGCCAGTTACTGCGCTCTCCGATATAGATTTATAAAAACAATGGCATCCGAGTCGCAGCCTCCGTGGCAGCCAGAGGAAGCATGTTTTATAGTTCGTAAGACTAATGAGGTAAGTTCCCCCTCATCCTCCAGGGCCAGGTTTCCTTACACGCAGCACGGCTTCAATGGCTTGCGGGGTGGGGGGGATCGATACAAAGCCGCCGCCGTTTATGAATTAGCCGCCAGAGGAGCTTCTGCATATCCCGTCGCCGAGGATAAACACGGCACTGTTTATAGAGCCTCCAGGTCTTGTTGAGATAAACTGATTGGGGGGTGGAGGGAGGAAGAGAGAACGGAGGGAGAGCAGAAGGTTACAAGGGCCCCAACGCTAACCACCCAACTCAGATGGCTTTAGAAGAGGATTTGACCAATCTGTGGTAGGGCTCTTGATGGCAACTGCTTATGATGGCTCTATACGAGGGTTCTTAACCTGTGGGTCATGGATGGGCTTCAGGGCAGGGTCCATAATCTAGGCACAATTCCACAACCCCCCATGCAAAATTGTATGCAAAACCTTGTGTGTGTGTGTGTGCCTTGTGCTGGGGAAGGGGTCTTTTGTCATATTCTCAAAGGGGTCTGAGACCCAAAAAAGGTTACGAACCTCTGCTCTATTTTGCCTCCAGCCTCCAAAAGTCACTAAGCAGGAAAGGCCAATTGGCCTTTACTGGTTGCCCAGTGCAAGGAAACAGGATGCGGGATTAGGCGAACCTTTGGTCTGATCCAGCTGCAGGAATCTTTTTAAAACCTAGCATTTATTTATTTGATTTATTTCCTCCATAAAACAGAATGTCTCCCGTCCACTTACACACATTTTTTTTTAAAAAAAGCCATCAAGTGAAGCAATAAAGCAATAACCCCCCCCCCAAGGAAAATAGGAACAGCAGTAAGCATGATTATGTTTTTTAAAATAATAAATAAATACATGAAAGTAAATAGCACGCATCATTTTGGTTCTGCACTTCACATCCTCAGTTTTGTCTCCAAGAGGCGATTATTTTAAAATGCACATAAAATGAAACCGCAAAGGAGCGATCCACCTGAGGAGGAAGGGTCTGCCCCGTAAGATGGCTGTGTGGAGGGGCAAAGGAAGCTTCGCTTCCTCCATCCATCCGAAGCACAGCATCAGCTCCCCACCCCCAGGGAGGTGAGGTGAAACACGGAGCCACAATTCAGAAGGAAAAGATGTGTTCCCCTCCTCCACTGCCGCCACAGCGCCACCCCCACCCCTGGGCTTTCCCTTCTCCGTGGTGGTGCCTCCTCGCCTGGCCGGCTCTCTTTCCTCCTGCCCTTAATCTCTTCTCTAAGTACAGCTCTATCTTCCCCCGTTAAAGGATTAACACCCATCTCTCATTCAACTATTGCAATGAGATTTTATTTCTAATTACGCCGTAATAAAACTGGGAGCGCTCCCAGGGTTTTCTCCAAATGACTTGTAGACACTCTGCAAGATTGGATCCTACTCGGCTGCATTGTAATAGCATTTCCCTGACATTCATTAGACATGCATGAAGGAGAGGTTTGAAGAATGGAATTGCATTTAAATGGATTTTCTGAGAGAGGGAGATGAAAACGGGCATGAAGAAAAAAGGGGAAAGGAGGAGGAGGAAAGGGCTGAACACAGGATGTAATAATCAGAGGGAATTGAAATAAAGCCTGGTCCCTCCCACCCCCACCCCACAACCAAGCATGTGCAGGGACAGCAAACCATGAAGGCGCTGCTGCCTCTTGGGTGCTGCTTGGGATCCCTGGGGAGGAGGGGGGAGGGGAGAGGGGGAGGCACTCCGCAGACAAAACTGGCAGTCAGCCCCTGATGGTGAAGGGAAGGGGGTGGGGGGCTGATGTTCCCTAGAACATGAAGATGGCTGTATTATTTCCAAATACTGCTGTTGCAAATGGACACTGTTTATTTTGCATGCATTTAAATTTAGACTGAATCGTCACAGGCTGCGCTTTCTGCATCCACGGCACCCAA